GCAGCCCCCCGAGGCTGAAGAGCTTGTCCTCGGCGGGCACGAAGCTGGAGAAGGCCCTTTTGTTGGGGATGCTGGGGAACTTGGTCCACGACCTGCTCTCCGTGTCGAAGACCTCGAAGGCGTTGATGGCGTATTTGGACTGCCGCCCGCCTGCGACGAGAGCGATGGAGAGGACAGGTTGGGTTCGGCTCAGACCACAACCAAACCAAAGGCAGCAGAACCCCAAGGAGCCCCATGGAGCAAGCGGAGAGCAAGAGCTGTGTTGGGGATGCTGGGGAACTTGGTCCACGACCTGCTCTCCGTGTCGAAGACCTCGAAGGCGTTGATGGCGTATTTGGACTGCCGCCCGCCTGCGACGAGAGCGATGGAGAGGACAGGTTGGGTTCGGCTCAGACCACAACCAAACCAAAGGCAGCAGAACCCCAAGGAGCCCCATGGAGCAAGCGGAGAGCAAGAGCTGCCAGCTCATATGATGCCCTCAACTCTCAAGTTACCCTGTAGGCCCTGCAGAGCCAGGTGTCCTGTCACCCTCCTCCTTTAACCTCCGTTTCATGCAATTAAAACACATCTATTTTTCTTTCAATGCACCACATCCTCCCTTCTCTTCCATCCCTGGGCAGTGGGCAGCTAGCGCAGGAAGGTGCTTAATATGCACCAGCTTAATGAAGACAAATCCCAAGCGCTTGGGAGCCTTTGCAATTCAGATAAGTTCAGCACAGAGCAACAGGCCTCGCTGCAGAGTCGGGAGGGAGCAGAAAGGCCAAAGCAGCTGCTGTTACAGGCGCCAAAGCCGCTGTTTTATTCTCGTGCTGATGGGATGCAAAGGAGTGCAGCTGCTCTCAGCTCCAGTGCTCAGCGTGTCCCTGAGCAGCCAAACGCTGCTTGCTGCTGGGCCCACAAACCGCTCGCTAGCAGCAAAAGGATGCAAAATAGATCAGAAAGTCTTTTGTGGGAGCCCCCCGAAGACATCAGCATCATCTGCTGCTTGGAGCGATGGGTCCTGACCACAGCACTGCTCCCCACAAGCCATTTGCAATGAAGCTAACAGCAACACCAGTTTCCCTACGTATAAAACGCAGCTAATGAAAACCACCCCCAGCAAAACACTTGGCCGGCACCCCCTGCCCACCGCACGCCTCTCCCGTGCCCAACGCAGACCTTTAGCACCAGCAGGACGGTCTCTTACCCAGCACGTAGATCTTGGTGCCCCGCAGGAAGGACGTGGCCGCGTACCGGGCCGTGGGCATGGCGGCCAGCGACACCCACATGTCCTTGAGCGCGTCGTAGTGCTGCAGGTAGTTGTGCGGCCGCAGGTCCGAGCCCATCCCGCCGGCCGCGTAGACCCTGTAGTCTGCGAGGGACGAGAAGCCAAGGGAAGAGCTCGAGGGGAGCGCGCGGGGAAGCGCCTGCCTAAGGGAAATCCACAATCCACATCTCTGCTTGGGAATTGAGATGGGAAGATAAGGCAGGGCCGCGCAGGCATTTAATAATTCCCATTTAAGGCAGTGGTTTATGCAGGGAGCTATGCAGGAATGTCCCACAAGGGCAAGCGTTTCCCTTTCTTGCGTGATTTGAGCCCCCAGCTATGAAGCTGGATAAAACCCTGGGTCTTTCCAGAGTGAAATCAGGAATTGCCCCAAACCTCTCCTGATCCTTCCTTTTCCTGCTCAGCGTGGGACTACCACAGCACTGGACCTGGAGTGGCCGCAGGACCTCAGGGCGGTCTGACCACGGAGCTCGGGCCTCGAAATGCAGCCAGGTCTGAGCCCAGCCACAGCAACAGAGCCCAAACGCTGCGGGTTTGGAGCAACCCCCCGAGCCTGGTCATTTCCAGGAGCCCCAGCAAACAGGGTCTCCTCTTCGGTGGGCAGGCAGTGACAGAGGCGCAGGGCTCAACCTCCACCAGCCCTGCAAAAGCTTTGGGGAAGGCTGAGATGCTGCCTTAGATTAAGGTGGCACTGCCTAGAAAGCTGCTCTGCTTGGGCATCAGGAACAAGCCCAACTTATCTCCCATAAGGACAAGAGGCCCCACAGGACAAGAGGGATGTGGAGCTGCTGGAGAGAGTCCAGCGCAGGGCTACGAGGATGATCAGGGGCCTGGAACATCTGCCCTATGAGGAGAGGCTGAGGGAGCTGGGCCTGTTCAGCTGGAGAAGAAGAAGGCTGAGAGGGGACCTGAGCAGTGTCTAGAAGTACCTCAAGGGAGGCAGTGAGGAGAATGGTGCTGGCCTCTTTTCACTGGAACAGGCTGCCCAGAGAGGTTGTGGAGTCTCCTTCTCTGGAGATCTTCAAACCCGCTTGGACGCAGCCCTGTGCCACGTGCTCTAGGTGACCCTGCGTGTGCAGGGGGTTGGACTGGATGATCTCTAGAGGTCCCTTCCAACCTTAAGCATTCCATGATTCTATGATAACTGCAACCTCAGGGGCCTAGAAGGGCATAGTAGGGACCAAAAATTGCCTTGCCTTTTGCTGTCACCGAGATGCCCATGGCTGCTTCCCGCAGCGAGTTCCTCTTCTTCCACTTGCCCTCATCCACGTTGTACATCTCCACGATCTTCAGCGGCATCTGGTTCGCCCCAACCCCTCCGATCACCATGATCCGCTTGCCCAGGGTGGCCACGGCCCCCCCGGCGCGGGCCGTGGGCATGGGGGGCAGCGAGGTCCACTGGTCGGCCTCGGGCGAGTAGACCTCGAAGCAGTCCATGGGGACGCCGTCGTCATCGCAGCCCCCGATGGCGAACACCTGCCCTCCGGCTTCCACCAGCGTCGAGTAGACCCTGCGGCTCGGCAGCGGGGCCAGGCTTTTCCACTGGAAATCTTTGGAATTAGCCACATCCATCGTGGCGCGAGGGTGGCATCGGTCCCCTGCTAAGCTGCGGAGCAGGGGAACATCGGTCACAAGGAGAATGCAGAGAAATGCACGAGGTGCAAAGCCCATCCTGCCCCTGGGCCCCAAGGACGCAGACGCCCCCCGCGAGCCCCATCCGCCACCCCCGGCACCGCTACCTTTCACTGCGGCTCCATCCGTCCTGCAGCTCTGGATCTGCCTTGGAAGCTCACGCGGAGACTGGTCCTAAAAATAAAACAAAACAAAAGGAGAAAGAAAAAAAAAAAAAAAAGGCTTATTATCCTGCTTCCCGAGCATCCCCACCCCCAAGCAGCATTAAACTGAGCAGGCTGCAAGCGTCTGCTCACTCCTCCGGCTCTGCTTTCCTGCCTGCTTGGGAACTTTTCCTTGCTTCCTCCTTCTCTGATCCGATTATCCCTCCTGACCCTTGTTTACATCTTCCTGCCAGCCCTGATCCAATAAACCCAGTGAGGAAAGGGAAGAGCTGCCGCTCACCCCCAGCCCTGCAGCCGCGGCACAGCCGGATCCGTGCAGCAGATCCGCGAGGGATCCAAGAGCCCATTAGGAGGGAGAAAAGGCTCCCTGGATCATTCCCTCCCCTCTCTGCGGGGCCGTTAAGCATGCAGATGAGATTAATTAGCGCAGGAAGACAGAGCGAGGACAAGTGGAGGGGAAGGAAGGCGACGGCGGCTGCAGTGCAACGAGGTGCACAGTGCCAAGAGCACCTTCGCTGTGGATCCTGGCGCTCAAGAGCAGCCCTTGGAGCAAGGAAAGGTTAAAGCAGGGTTCGCCCTCACCCCTGCAGACTGCACAGCCTCTGCCAGCACGTGCACCTGCACACACGGTCCAGCTTTTGCTGGAAGCAGGAGGGAACGCAAACCCTCTGCCTTAGCATTGCACTTAAGGGAAAAATCAAGGTCGGTCTGAAGCACCATCCCAGCAGCCCTCCTCCTCCTCCTCCTCTCTCCAGGATCACTTGCCTTTTCACTCGAAAGCATCACCGACACTCCAAGTGCTGAACAAATACTCCAGCACGCCACAGCCACGTTCCCCTCTGGCAAACAGAGTTATCACCCGGTTATACCAAGCAAATTGGAAGCATTAACATTTTGCTTAAATGGCTTCATTAAAAGGAAAGCGAGTGGTAATTGCTCTCCCGTCAGAGGGGTTGGCAGGCACACGGAGCCCGTGCCGGAGCCGCCAATCCAGAGGCGCTGTCAGCAGGATGCAGCCTAGGGATGCGGGTGCCTCCCATTCCAGGGACACCTTGGAAATCCAGGGGACCACCATGATTCTCTGCATCCCGCCACGGCTTCACACGATCTGCTCGCAGCTCTGCTTTGCTGACTCCTATACAGCGACCCCAAAGGTACCTTGGGCCCGGGATAAGTCACACGCCGGACCCTCGTCACAGCCCCCTCGGGAGCTGGCACATCCCCATTTTGCCTCCCGGCTGCCGAATTCCAGCCTGTTCCTCGCTGCCACCAGCAGTGGGATACAGCAGAGAGCCAGCAACCTCCCGGGAATCCCATTAGAGGATCCATCCGCTCTGGGCGCGCGCCGGTGCTCACCTTGCCGCGGGGCCGTCCTGCACGTGCCACGGCAAAGAGGGACCGTGCGCCATGGAGAATAACCACATCCAACCCGTGTCAAGAGCCAGAGACAAGCATTCCCAGTGTCCCGAGGGCTGGCGTCACAGCAGAGGTGGGAATGGAGCAGCGACGGGCTGGGAATAGCAGGCGAGCGCGGGAGAAAAGGGCTCCCGAGCAGGAGCCAGCGGCTGCGCTTCAGCTCTCTTGGCTGCGTGCGCTCTATTAAATAGAGAGCAGGGCGAGATGACACAGCACAGACGGCAAGGAAGACAGCGAGGAGGAGATGATTCAGTGCAGGGAAGCCGCTTCTGTCCCAAAGAATAGCTATGGTAAGAGGCTGGGGACAGAACAGGGGGGAGAATCTGGAGCAGAACAGGAGGTGGAAATCCTGGAAAGCCTCCTAGGCCACCCTGCCCTGGCCCAGGTAGGCTGGGGGGCAACCTTGGTCCCCCAGACCCCACATTCCTCCTCCTGGGGCTGGGCTCAAAGAGGGACATACTCTCCAGGGACATGTCCCATCCTCAAAACCCAAAGCAAAAACTAAGCAGCAGGCGCTACCTTGAAGTGTCCAGAGCATCCCTAGCATCCCTTGCTGGAATCGGGGCTTTTGTGAAGGGAAGAAAAACTGGAGAGGAGAGAAAAAGGAAAGAAAACACACTGGCAGTTACCCTTATGCTGTTCTCCCTGGCTCTGCAGGTCAGTTATTGCACAGTATCCCACCCCTGCAACAAGATGGGAAGTTTCAGGCGCGGATGCAGCACGGAAGCCTCACTGCCGCCCAGGTGAGCTGCTGGCACGCTTGGAAGAGGTAGGAGAGGCCGGCCAGGACACCAGCCCTTGCTGCAGAACCCCGTTCTGCTCCGGCGGGGACGGGAGACGCGTGATGCTCGTGGGCAGCTCTGCGGGAGGCTCCGGGGCCGCCGCGGCCGCTGCCCGGGGCTCACACGGGGCCCCAAATTCCTCCTCCTCCTGGCACGGCCCTCTGGACCCTCGCAGGCAATTCAGGCACCCGAGTAGGACCAGAGTCCTGGGGAAAGTCTCATCCAAAACCCCCGTGCGGCCCTGCCTGGGTGCGTGTGACACCCTGCTCCTCTCTGCTGCTGTCACCGCAGGAGGGAACTGTGTGGCCCAGCCTAACGCTGCTCCCGGTGACATCTAAAACACTGGAGAAATCCCCTCTCAGCTTAGACTATCATTTCACAGGGCTAACCTGCAAGATCTCATCTATTACCAACCTGTTTTTTTTCCTCCAGTGACTCCAGCTTGCACCATTTGAGCACAAAACGCAACAAAACCAAAAGCACACGCACAAATCCCACCCTACCTCCAAGAACGAGGACTCTGCTGCTGCCTTCGCTTCTGCCTCGCTCAGGCTCAGGCAGCCGAGGCTTGAAGCAGAACATACAGGGAATGGCGATCCCGGTATTCCTGACCTCCCCTTGCACTGAACCGCGGGCCTTTTCCATAGTAACAGCTCCCCAGCAAAACAACAACACAGGAATCCCCCAGTTCCTTGTGTTTCTTTGCAAAGCGCCCAGCTGGGAAGAGTGAGAAGAGCAGGGCTGAGCTCCATGAGAGGATTCATTGCCCATCAACAGCCTCCTCGTGCCAAATGCAATTTCCTGGCACTGCTAAAGGGAGGAAGGCAGAGAGGCCGTGCAAGGAAATAGCCCACAGGGACCAGCAAAGCGATGCCCAGCAGCAAGCTACAGCATGGGACAGGACAGGAAAATGCTCCAATTTTTGCTGTGCCCTTGCTGGCACAAGCACAAAGCCAGGCTGTCCCTTCCCCTTTCTCCTTTCCCCTCTGGAGAGGCAGCACAGAGGCAGGATTTATCCACGCTGCGATCGCACACGAGCGAAACGAACCCACCTGCCGGAGCGAGCGCTGCTCCTGCCCTGCGCCCCTTTGCTCGCAGGGCCTCCCTTTACCAGGTCGAAGGCGGAGGATCCCTCCCAAGCCCCTTTTGGCTCCCTGATTGCATTTGCAAAGCTCTGCTTGCTCCGAATTTAGGCCACATGCCTCATGCTCCGGCGGGAATGCAAAGAGCTCGGGCCGGGCTCGCAGCCGGGCGCTCGAGCTGCCCAAGAGGTTCCAAATACCCAACCGGGGGCTGCTGCAACGCGGAGGGAGCACAAAGCCTCCCTGACCCACTTTGCGGCTGCAAACTCCGCTTTGCCTCGATCCGTCACGCTCCCCGCTACAGCCTGCCCCAAAACCTCCCCAGGTGCCTCCTACTCACAGCTCCGCACGGGTCCGGGTGGATCGGGCTCCGCATCCAAACACGCCGCAAGTTCAGGATGCGGGAGCCGGGCGGCTCCGGCGCGAGCGGCTCCCGCAGCTCCG